CTCAGTCTGCCCTTGCCCAGAGTGCCTCCGGAGAAGGTGAGTCAGGGCGGGGGGAACGTGGAGCCAGCCGGGTCAGAACTCTCAGCACCTCGCCCCCACAGCCTGGTGGCCACAGGCCTTGAAATCAGAGCACTGGGAGAAACGGGGGCAGAAGCCAAAGGGCCACCAGCTCCCCCACCTACCCTGCTTGGGTAAGCACCCCTTCCTAGGTGGTGGACGTAAGCGGCAGGTCCAGGCCTGCTGCCAGGTAATCTGAGCGGCTGCCACGCCCCTCTTGCCTCAGCCAGGCTCCTGCAAGGGCAAGCAGGCAGGTTGCTTAAGTCCCAGACAGAGCAGTGGAGGCAGTGGCAGCAGAGGGTGGAACAGGAGGGCGGCCCAGGCTGGCAGACTGCACAGACCCACAGGCGTGGAAGCCCGCCCACAGGCCAGAGCCGCCCAGCACCAGGTGAGGCACTCGGAGCCCTCCTATGCCCTTCCTTCCCTCCAATGCGGGAGACTCTTGAGGGACCAGGCCCAGAGGGAGGCTAGAGTCCCATTCCAAGCCCAGCACCCATCTTTGAAGTAGTGCTGAGGGCGGAGTGGTTTTTCTAGCCAGGACCCCTCCCAGTCATGTGAGGGCAGTGTAGACCATGTACGGGGGGTGGGCCCCACCCTCAGGCACCTGGACGGAAGAATGGTTTATATCTCATGAACACAGGGCCGGGTCCTAGAGGGAAAAGGGACACTCCTGGGGGCCAGCAGGTGGTAAAGCCATTAAGGCTTTGGATTCCTACATGGCTGACTAAGGTTCAAGTCCCTGACCTGGTGACTTGAACATCACACCGGGTCATATGCACATGTGCCCCAAACCCCGGGAGAGTGGAGAAGGGACTGCAGTGTGACCATACTTCCTAGGGGGTGACTTCTCACTTTCCCTGATTTCTCTCCCTAGTGAGCACACACACCCTATGACAAAAACCTTAAAATAAATCAATAAACAAACGGACACTCCTGAGCTGCTGCCAGGGCCCGCCTGCTTCCCAACACAGGCCCTCCCTTCCCTCCCAGCTTCTTCCACACAGGACCCCAAACCTTCAAGCTGCTTCTGCCAGGAAAGGGTCCACAGCAACTGCCACTGTCCTGCCTTGGTGGGACCCTTCCTTGTGCTACTTCTGGGGCCCATGACCAGCCAGAAGCTGAGGCCATGAAAGGCCAGGGAGCTCCTGGGGTGGGCAACACCAAAGCCCGGTGACATCTTGAAGCTGGTTCCTCACTGTCCTACTCAGGGCCCTAGACAGCCCTTCCTCCCCCACTGGCAGAGCAGCAGTCTGGCTCCTGTAGGGCTGGGCTGGGGGTGGGCAGCAGTGGCACCAGGAGGGCAGCCTCTGACTGCCTGCCTTCTCTGGGAACCTGAGCCTGCAGGGCCCCATGGAGGAGAGCGCAGAAAGCGCTCATTCTCAGCTTTCTCAGGAGGCGGATAGGGCCTCCTCTGTGGGCTCCCCTGCCTGACACACCCACACGGAGAGGTCCTGAGGCCTGGGCGCCTTGGCCTACACAGTGCTCCAGTGCCCAGCAGGCAGAGCGGGTGCTCGGGCATCTGTTAAATGAAAACAAAATAGTACGGGGCCGCCCTGCGGGCTGGTGGTTTAAGGGACCCGTAGCCCATTCAGCTCCCACTGAGAAGCTCTCTGGGTGCAGGCCAGTGTGTGTGTGCCCTAAATCCCGACAGGACGGAGAAACGGAGAAGGGACTGTGGCATGACCACACCCCGTTAGGGGCTTTCTCCTTCTCCCTATCTCGCTGGCAAAATAAAAAATAATGTGACCTCAGTACCTGGCTCCGGCTATCTGAGCCTCCACAGAATGAGAGGTGTGGGGGCCGAGGCCTCAGGGTCTTTTTTGGTTTTCTTTTTAAGAAATTATTTAAGTTTTATTTATTATTATCATTAGTTTTAATTTGACCAGAGAGAAACAGAGAGGGAAGGAAAGTGAGAAAGCAAGCTACCAGGTCCAGGAGAGCGGTTGGCCATGTGCAAGTCCGACGCCTTTAACCACCATGCCACCTGCCAGCCCCAAGGCCACAAGGCCTTACCAGCAGACAGCCATGAGCACCTGAAGCCCGGGGTTCATGATCTCTCCCAGGTGTTAGATGCACTGCCCAGCTCTCAGAGTAGGTGGAGACCCAGGTGTCCCTTGGCCATCCCAAGTACCAGGATATGACCCAGCTCTGAATAGGGACACAGGTATCTTCCAGAGTGACCCAGGACTAGGAGGGGCAGGACCACAGAGGCCACTTGACCTGTCTGTTCCTCCTCTGTGCCGGCCAGATGTCCACAGCCAGCCCAGGGTCTAGGCTTGGGTCGCAGTGCTGGGCCCAGTCCCTCAGCACAGGCTGGCGTGGCTTTCTTCCCACCCTCAATTCTGATCTGTTGAGGGCCGGGTGGCTTCATTGACTCCTTCAACCTGCAACAGCTTACCTATGAAGCAGGAATTTTAGCCCCATTATGCAGATGAGGAAATAGAGCCTCAGAGGGACCAGCAATTAGCATAATGGCTATGTCGCTGGACTCCCATGTAGTCGACTGCAGTTTGAGTCCTGGACCCGGTGGTTTAAACTCATGCCAGGCACGTGTGCGTGCGTGCCCAAGATCCTGAGAGGAGAATGGAGGAGAAGGGATTGCGGCGTGGCCATTCCCCCTGGGGGGTGATTTCCCGCTTTCTATCTCTCTCTCTGGTGAGCGCATGCACCCTATAGCAAAAACCTCTCCAGAAAAAAATAAAAAGAAAAAGAGAAAGAAAAAGGAAATAGAGCCTTAGAGAGGTTACGTGATATGCCCAAGATCACACAGCAGGACAACGACAGGTCAGGTCAGAATCAGAACGTGGCACTGCCGGCCTCAAGGCTGTACTCTCAGGCCACGGTCGCCGGAGACCCAGCCTAGCCAACACCGTACACGCAGGGCCCACCCAGGGGAGTCCAGCACATCTAGGAGAGTTGCATGGTGGGCTGCATGGAGGCAGTGGCTAGGCCAGGTGGCATGTAAGAATACCCCAGACCAGGGTTCTCCTACCTGACTCTTCCTTGGCCCAGCCTGCAGCATGGACCCCAGGGTACCCTGCTGCCTTGGCCCTTTCCCGTCCTGGAATGAGCACTTCCAAGAGCCACCACGCTGCTTCCAGAACAGGCAGGCACGCCAATGAGGAGAGGCAGGCACAGGGAGTCCCCTCCTCCTGGGAAGAGGGGAGGGGAGGACATGGCAGGGACTGGGACTAACACGACAGGGATGGGGCCGGGGTCTGGTCCAGGAGCTCCCGGTGAGCGCATGCACCCTATAGCAAAAACCTCTCCAGAAAAAAATAAAAAGAAAAAGAGAAAGAAAAAGGAAATAGAGCCTTAGAGAGGTTACGTGATATGCCCAAGATCACACAGCAGGACAACGACAGGTCAGGTCAGAATCAGAACGTGGCACTGCCGGCCTCAAGGCTGTCCTCTCAGGCCACGGTCGCCGGAGACCCAGCCTAGCCAACACCGTACACGCAGGGCCCACCCAGGGGAGTCCAGCACATCTAGGAGAGTTGCATGGTGGGCTGCATGGAGGCAGTGGCTAGGCCAGGTGGCATGTAAGAATACCCCAGACCAGGGTTCTCCTACCTGACTCTTCCTTGGCCCAGCCTGCAGCATGGACCCCAGGGTACCCTGCTGCCTTGGCCCTTTCCCGTCCTGGAATGAGCACTTCCAAGAGCCACCACGCTGCTTCCAGAACAGGCAGGCACGCCAATGAGGAGAGGCAGGCACAGGGAGTCCCCTCCTCCTGGGAAGAGGGGAGGGGAGGACATGGCAGGGACTGGGACTAACACGACAGGGATGGGGCCGGGGTCTGGTCCAGGAGCTCCCTGCAGCCCACGCTGCCCCGTCCCCTTCGGTCCCTGTGCTCCTGACTGCAGCTACTGCCACCTCCCAGCCATGTGACTGCAAAACCACAGGCGAGGTCTACTCATCCCTCGGCCAGCCGTGTCACCTCTCACCCGGGCCAGCCCAATTTCTTTGATGGCCTCAGTGCCTCATCCCCTCCCCTCCTCCACCCACCCTCCAGTCAGCTTCCTCCCAGCCTATTGTACCTCCCGCGTGGCCCAGTGAACCCTTCCACCTCTTTTTTACCCCACATGTCCACTGGCCACAGGCCCCCTATGCACTCCCCTTCCCCCCATCTCCAGGCCTTTGCTCGTACAGTTTCAGCCACGTGGCCATTCCTGGCAAAGCAAAATTCTGCTAAGGTGAGGAGGCCCAGCGGAAACCCACCTGTTTTTTGTCTCCCTGGCAGTCTTGAAGCACTTTTCCCGAACCCACAGCTCCACGTTCTGTGGCTGCTCAGCTTGGAGCCTTGTTGGAGGATCACTGTGTGGGGCTGACTTGCTAACGTGGGGAGCTTCCTGAGGACTGGGCCAGATCTGAGTCCCCTCCAGAGCACAGATGTGGCAGAGTGGGAGTCAGCACATACCGGTTTCAACTGAGTGCCCCAGTGTGGCCAGGGCAGGCTACAGGGCTTGGCCACTGGAGCTCTCCAGGCGAGGAAATCAGAGCTGGGGATTCCAAATGCTGGGGCTGGCAAGGCTCAGAACCTTGGCAAAGCTGCAGGCCTACTCAGCTGTGGGCAGCACCACCCCGCAGCATGGCAGGAGGCGACATTGGCAAGCCCTGACTCACCAGAGGCTGCAAGTACAGCCGGACGCCCACAGCGTTCCAGAGACGCTGGGACAGTGTCTGACCCCCACGATTGGGATGGTTAGAGTAGCTCAGCTGGCCCCACTTGCACCCTAAGCCCTCTCCCACCCAGGCAGTATGAGGCCTAAGGAGACACCCCACTACTGGGTCAGGGGCAGCAGAAGGCTGGAGAGGTGGGATTCCAGCTCTCAGCCCCAGTGGGCCCACAGCCAGAGGCCTCCTCAACTCAACACCGGAACTCGCCTCCCTCTAGTCCTGGCCCTGGCCCATGTGGCCAGACCCCCATAGTGGCTGCTTACCACGTGGGGCTTGTCGTAGTAGATGGCGATGGAGCGCAGCTTCGGGGAGACGCTGCAGCTCTCAGTGAACAGCCGCCCGGTCTCGCCATAGGGTCCTCTGTGGAACTTGTAGGCCATGGTGACGTTGCGGATGGGCGGGGAGCCAGCACTCACTGCCACCTCGGCCAGCAGCCCTGAGTACCCGGCAAAGGCTAGCAGGGTCAGCAGCAGCAGCAGAGTGAGGCCCCCGATCAGGCCGAGGAGGAGGAGGTCCGACATGGCTCTGGGCCCCCCACACCACGCACCCTACCGCAGCTGCAAAGGAGACAGAGGGAGAGGAGTCTGGAGCCTGCTCTGACCAACGTGCCCACCTGCCCGCCAGCTCGTTCTGGCCCAGCCTCGGCCCTGCCTGAGGTGCTCTGACCCTGGAGGGGGAGGGGCCAGAGGTGTTTACACACACACATACACACACACACACACAGTGACCTAGAAGGGAGCTACAAAGGATGACTGAAGCCACAAGCCTCTTTATTTCTTAATCACAGTTGCTGAAGCTCTCGAAGCAGCTCTGCCTGGCAGCTGGTAGCCCTGGTCACACCTGGGGAAACTGAGTCATACGGAGGCACAGGAGTGAGTCAGTCAGGGACCTATGCCTGGCCCTGACCAGTCTCCCCGGAGACGGGCCAACCAGCAGCCAGCCTGCCTTTTCCTCCACTGCCTCTCCCTCTCCAAAGCGGAGCTACATCACTGAGCCACCCGGCCAGCCTGGCCTCCCCATGCCTCAGGGACGACTGCTGGAGGGAGGATGGGCAAACGCTGGGGTCCAAGCACTGAGTAACAAACAGGTAAGCCATGAGGAACAAAACCCCAGGGGGGAACTGTGCCAAGAAGGAGAATTTCATAGGGAAGTCCTTTGCTAAGGACATCTGGCGGGCAGCTACCCAGCAAGCTCACCCACCCAGAACCAGAGAAATCAGAGCAAAACGGCCTGAACAGTCGAACAAAGTCCAGCGCTCAGCTTCCCAGACGCGGCCCACCAATGCTAACAAGCCTTACCCCCACCTTTCCAGCCCTGAGCAGCTTAGAAACTGAAGGAGGAGGAAGAAAAGGCCGCTAGAGGTAGAGACACAGCGAGGAGTGACAGTTACCTACGGGAGGCAGAGAAGCCATGGGAGAGCAGGCCCAGCAACACAACCCAGAGGCCAGCGTGTGAGTCACCCAGGTCAGCCCACCAAGGCCTCCACACAGCTGGGGCAGAGGCCTAACCCTCTTACAAGGAGGGCTTGACCTGAGTCGCCCTGGGGGAAAGGGGAGATCAGGTAACCCTTTCAAAAGGACAACAGGCAACCCACTGAGAACATTCCTACCGGTAATTATGTAAATACTAAAACTGATAAAGTTTTGGAATTGAAAACACAAGTCTTTTTTTTTTGGAAAGGTTTTTGCTATAGGGCACTAGCGCTCCCAAACAGACAGAGACAGACAGAGAGATAGAAAGCCAGAGGGGATGGCCACGCCACAATCCCTTCTCCTCCATTCTCCTCTTGGGATCTTAGGCACGCATGTACACGTGCCCAGTTTGAGTGCCACCGGGTCCGGGATGCGAACCACGGTCGACTACGTGGGAGTCCAGCGACATAGCCATTACGCTAACTGCTGGTCCTGAAAAGACAAGTCTTTAGTCCTATAGGAAACTCTGTGAGATTATTAGTTCCCTGTGAGTTCTGGGTATTAGGACTTTTATGCTAGAGGGGTCAGCAGATGGTGTAGTGGTTCTGTTGCTGGATTCCCACGTGGCCACCCTGGGTTCGGGTCCCAGACCTGATGGCTTGAAACTCATGCCAGGCATTTGTGTATGTGTACAAGATCCCAGGAGAAGAATGGAGGAGAGATTGTGTTGTGGCCATCCCCCCAGGGGGATTCTCTGTGATGAGCACATGTGCCCCAAGGTAAAAACCTCTGGGGGGAAAAAAAAAAACCACAAAGATTTTTATGCTGGGGGCCAGCAGGTGGTATGGTAGGTAAGGTGCCGGACTCCCACGTGGCCAACCAGTTTTGAGTCCTGGACCTGATGGCTTGAAACACATCAGGTATGTGTGTGCACGTGTGCCCCCAATCCCAGGAGAATGAGAAGGGACAGTGGCATGGCAATCCCCCCTGGGGGCAGGAGGTGATTTCTCATTTTCCCTTTCACTGTCTCTGTCTCTCCAGTGAGTGCATGCGCCCTACAACAAAAGATTTTTTTTTAATTTATGCTGAAAAATAGCCTTTGGCGGCAATGAACACGTAGCCTCTGCCTCATGAAGAGACAAAACACGTCTACGCCTCTGATGCTGTGACAGCACGGTGCCACCCTCTGGTCTTCTCTCCACCGTGCTGGGTTTTGCGTGCCTCCCCTGTCCCCCTAAGCTGGTCCAGGTACTCTCGTTTGCTCTGATGATGGTGATGGTAATGGTCGATCTTTCCTCGCCACTATTAGATGTCACGCATCATCTAAATATTGAAACACTGCTACTTCGGTCATTCTCGAAACACTCAACAAAGTGGGTTCGGGTCAGGAAACCAGTGGTTGGAAGCTAGGAGACTTGCCCAAGGTCACACAAGTATTAGAGAGAACCATCTAGACCCAAATCCAGATAAGGGAACCACGCCTCTCCAAATCCCCATATCTGCTTTCTCTCTCCTCTCTGGAGACTGGCAAGGCCCAAGGCCCGTCCAGAAAGGCCCAAGAGTTCAATCCACACTGGACATCCACGCACCCAAGGCTGGAAGTTCTCAGCATTTAGGCCACCGCTGCTTTGGGAATGACAAGCCCTCACTGGACCTGCTTGCTCAGCTGCACACTTTCTGTCCCCTCAAGGGAACTCAGTGGCCACCTTGGTCTTCCCTTCATCTCCCAAACTGCTCAGAAGTGGGGGAAATGCACCAGGGAGCCCAGAGCTTAGGCTGCTACAGGAAGGGGGAGGGGCGACTCAAGTTCCTCCAGACACAAGAACAGGAAGCAGGGCTGGGGAGGCTCACCTGCAAACCCAGGCTCACTTTTAGCAGCTCATGGCATCCACCGCGCACCGGCCAACTACTGGAGTGCTGGGGACAGAAAGGAAAAATCACTCCGGCCCAGGAAATAACCACTGAGCCGGCAACACACCCTGACCACCACTCTCCGCGGAGTGCCCGCTGGGGCCTCTCCAAACCCCCCATCCCATACTCGGAGTCCGTGGGGAAGTCAGAAAGAGGCCAAGCCCAGCCTCAGAACATCGGAGCTCCTCAATATGGCCCTGTTCACGCCCCTCGTTCTGGGGTGGTCCAGCGGTAACAGCGCCTACCACTGACCGTGGGCAAGTTGTGCCCTCCCGCGGGCCTCGGTTTCCCCCCAGATCAGATGATCGGAATGGAAGCCTCTGGTCGGCTGAGTGCGGGTAAGCAAGCAAATGTCAAGCAGGCTGCCCGGCGCCGGCTTCCTGGTGCGCTCACGTGCGCCGCGGCTGAGGCCCTGGCCCTTAAAGGGCCCCGCTGCGAGTAAAACTTCAGCACTAGCTGGGGGCGGGAAGGCAGCGGCTTCTTGGGGCCTGCGCGGGGAGGAGGGGGCGGTACCTCCCGCTCTCGGCTTCCAGCTCCGGCTCACTCAGAGCCTCGCCTATTTGCCCAGCCGGGTTCTCTCTGCCCACGGCCTCGGTGAGCCCCACGCACCTAGGCAATTTGAGGGGCACTAAACTTTGCAGCCGGCGCAGGGAGGCGCAGCCTCGGGGAAGGGGGCGGAGTAAAACACCAGTCGTGCGTCTGTCTCCCTCCAGCTCCACTGCCCCGGGGCGTGGCCGGCACCTGGCGCCTTGGCAGTGGGTGGCCGGGAATGGTCCTAGCCGGCCCAAGGTCGCGTTTAGGCCCTCGGACCCGGCCAGGGCCAGCTGTGGACGAGAGGAGATGCCAAGAGTGGGCCGAGCTTCAGGGGTCACGAAGGGTACGCGGGAGACCTGAGGCCGCGCCAAGGCGAACTGGGGGTTCCAGGTCCGCGCCTCGGTGGGGACGCCGCTCCCCCAGCCCGGCCCTCACCTTAGCAGCCGCCAGCCACCAATCCGCGCAGGCGGCTCCAGGCCCCGGCGCCGGGCCCCGCGCGGGCCCGCCA